AAGGAGTTTATTTATCTGTTCTTTAGAAAAAGGAAAGGGGGTGACAGATTGGGTGTTCTTAGAATGAGTAACATCAGGGACATTAGCATTATTATTGCTAAAAGTATATTTGAAAGGGGAATTTTGAGGTCTAGAACGATTTTGAGAGTTATTTGGAAAACCAATCAGCTTAAAACACCTTTCAATGGTGTGTCTCGTCATGCCACAATGTTTACAGTTAAGCATAGTATTTTTCCAAACCGTTTTTTATTATCTGTAGACTTACTAAAAAATGCAGTGTTTTGAGACTTTGGCCTAGATTGGGACACATTACCACCACGATGAGATTCTTCGCGAGAGACAATAGAAAAGGCAGTTTTGACCGATGGTAAAGGGTCCCTCGTGAGAATATTGCTTCTTATGGGTTGGTATAAATCGTCAAGACCCATAAGGAACTGCATAAGTTTGACCAATTTTGTGTGTTCCAAAAATTCGTGTGAGGCATTACAGGTGCAGGTAGGGAGTTTTACAATGGCGTCAAACTGTTTCCATAATGAGTTTAATCTATGATAGTAATCAGAAACACAAGATTCATTTTGACACAAGGAATTTATTTTTTGATACAGATTGAACATTACAGACCCGTCAACTTTGTCATATGTCTATTTTAATTCGTCCCAAACCTTTTTTTTTGAAAGGGTATCCGAGCCAAAGCTCGACTAATCCCAGGCACATCCAGGGCTAAAGCATGCCCCTTTGGTAAATGTCGCACAGGGTGTGCGTAGAGGGATTCGAACCCGGGTTCAGCGCTATGAACTGCCCAGGCACTAACCACTCCACCACAACACTGATTGACTGAGTTACATCGTCCCAAACCTTTGAGGCTTATTTAGAGAAAACCTGACCTAAAATAGGTCCTCCGTCATAGTACTCAGAATCCATGAAAGGACCACTGAGTTACATCTATCCCATTGTTTTTCAAGAATGGGATCATTGACAGGTCTGGGACAGGATCCATCAATGAAACCGATTTTATTTTTCGTTTCAAGAGCCAAAATCATAGCACATGCCCAAACCTTGTAATTATCCGTACCACATAGTTTCATAGTTAACAGAGGTGTTCCACTTGTATCACTAGGGTGTAGATACAACGGATGTCCAAAATCAAGTGATTTTGGATTCCATTGGTCTACTAGCGACAAACTCAGAACCAGACATAGAGAGAAGCACACAAAGGAAACTAAGACAGATAAAAGCAGGATTCCTAAAACACTTAAAGTGCTAGGTCAAGCTAACTGTCTAGCTCTTTAAAAAAGAAAGAAAAAGCACACACAAAACAAATACAAAAAAGGCTAAAACACAGAGGAATACCAATGAAGAAGGGAAGAAACCAAACCTGACAATCAGCAACAAAACTTTAACCAAAGGTTAAAGAAAGAATACACGCACCAGGATAGCCTGAACAAACAGATTGGAACCTCAAGGATCCCAAATTTTTTTGCCGATAGGTTCACGGCAAGCAGGAACAAACATGAAGGCTAAACAGAGTAAACACAATTCATATGACAATAAATGCAGGACTAAGAAATAGCCAATCATAAAGCACTAACATGAAGCGCAATCAAACAGATGAGCGTAATAGAAGAATACACAAAGAATAAGGCAATTTTAAAGGAAACAAGTATCACATATCTGATTGGAAGATCGTTATCAATAATAGACAAATGCAACCATATCAAACTGATCATTTACTATAACCAATGTAAAATCTACCTTTCTTTAACAAGGAGTTGAAGATTATTAACAATCTAAAGCAATAAAGTGTATCACAGAACATAAAGGATTCATATCTAATGTTATTTAAACAGAACATATAAGATGCATTACAACGAAAAGAAAAACAGATCTGATCATAAGCATAAAGGGCTTACACCAGATTTGAAGAACGATACAGACCATATATATTGATATGACTGTAACAACTCATAAGAAACGATCCAAGTCTAAAAGACTAATATCGAACATGTAAATGATTCATATCTAATATTATGTAAACAGAATGCATTATAAATGCAAGAAGAACAGATTTGATCATAAGCATAAAAGGCTTACACCAGATTTGAAGAACGATTCAGATCTAAAAGTTATGAAACAGACCATATATATTTTGATATGACTGTAACAACTCATAAGAAACGATCCAAATCTAAATAGAATAAAATCGAACAAGTATATCTAAACAAACAGGAGCAAAAACGCAGATCTGTATCACAGATCGAATGGTAGATCGAGACCCTAAAAGGATCCTTGCAAACCATAAACAAATCTGTTCATGTACAGACTACTTAACCAAGATAAGAGCAAGGATATACAAGCAATACCACATCTCAACAGGCGATTCAAAAGAAAACAACAACTACAAACATGAGTATTACACCTTATGAGTCGGCACAAACAAGATCAACAGATCTGTATAGGCTTCGAATAAGATGATCATTTACTTAAGAACAAGAAGGAAGATGAAAGGTTTACCTGGAAGCTTTGAACATAGACTGATAAACGAACAGTAGAACTAGCAATCGCAACTTCTTACGAAATAGCTGAACCAGATCTGAAGCTGTGATACCATGAACAAATATATGAAACTATATTTACTCAATGATTTTGAACAACATACAGTAAGAAATACATATACAAACCTAACTATTTGTTAATCAAAATGATTAACAATCTTTATGAACAAAGCTTAAACCTAAAATTGAATCGCACTAAAAACTTCTAGAAAGAGAGAGAGAAAATAAGCGTTTGAGATATGAAAATGAATCTGAATGAGCTGTGATGAGGCGTATGAGCTCTTTATATAAGAATTTCAATATGGCAGAAATGGTCCTCCATCTTTACGATAATTGCTCCGCTACCCCTGAGCTTCTCCCAATAGTGAGGCGCGATCCCTTGACTTTATGAACACATCTTTTGTCTGATTGCAACACTAGTCCTTCAACATTCTTCCTAACATTCAAAAGTAAAGATTGTTAGTTTAAAAATACCTTTTAACAGTTTTCCTAAACTTCTCTTCTCTAGTTAAAAATAAAAGGAAGATGATGTTAAATATCTATGACAACATTAGTAACAATGATAAGAGATAACGATGACATATGCTTACCTGTCATCTTAACTTTCTCTCCTTCTTCCCTAGACCTCTCATCTTCAGCAGGACTAGGCGAGCCTACAAACTCGACTTCTTCATCATCATCCTCTATCAACGATCGATGCTTACATGATGGAGAAAAATCTTGATTGTGAAATTATAGAAACTTTTCTATCTTTTCTTGAGTATCAGGTAGAGGCAACAATAAAGAAAAATCTACCCCTGTAGACGTAGACACGAAAAGTTAATCATCAATGAGAAATAATAATGATGACACTTATAATTGGTGTTCTATAGGATGTCAACCACTGATCCCCATCTCTTAATGACGAAACTTTACCGAAGACGTATCTCATCTTCTATTTTCTATCGTTATTAAAAGTGCCCAAGACCAGGATCCTAGTTTTATTTTCTATTACTCTCCGGCTTCACCGTATATGCCAACAGTTGTTGAATTATAAATGGAGATTCATAGTCCTTTGTCAGTTTGTCGATGATACTGACAATCCTCCAAAACGGGGGCATCATTTGCCCTAGAGAAAGATCAAAAGCATTCAAGAATGCTCTTGATAGAGAAGAAAAAGGCCAAATGAAACCAATCTTGAAGAGATACTCGTATAACACAAGGAATTCCTTTAGGGCCTCTTCTGATTGAAGCTCGCCAGGACAAAAGAGATTGATGTCGTTTGGCAACTCTGATAAAATCCTAAAAGCATCTAAATCTCCTTGTTCCTCAATCACAATTGTAGGTTCTACCATCCCTATACAATCATGAATCAAAATCGAAGCTATGTATAAACTAGAAGCTTCCCAATTTTTTCTTGGATTCTTAGCAATATGATTGGGAGGAACTGATTTTCTTGCAGGGCTTGATAATGGAAACAATTCGGAAACTCAGATAAGGAAGAAGAGTTGCAGAGGTAAAAAAGGAAACAAGAGGAAGGAAACTGATATTTAGTGTTGTCATGATTATGTGTGTCAGGATCGTCGCCTGATAACCGACACTTGTCATTAATGCCATGAGATGATCATCTTAGGGAATTTCCATTTCGTTGCATCCAAGATTTTCGGAAACATGTGTGGCCATGAAAGAAGAAGGAAGGCCGTTTGGGTCACACTTTCCATAGGCAGCACGTGTTTCACTACAACTGTAAGCCAACACGTGATGGTGCATGATGTCATGATTCTAAAATCGGTTCAGTTTCCAAGTAACTGAATCGATTTCTTCTCAACGATTCAGTTTTCAAAAGACATACGTATCACATTTCCATAAAAAGTTTTGGAACAAGATTTGAAATTTAAATATTTTTAAAACTCAAATTTCGGAGGCAAGTTGACAATCCCTAAGATCGTCCGTGATTTTTACCCTCGACGTGGTTTCCCGTGTCACCAAATAGCATCATTTTCTTTCTTTTATTTATCGTCTTGAAGGTTTAATCCGTAATTGATAGCTTCACGATCCAATCTCAAATTATGTTGTACAATTCTTGATATAAAAGAACACCATAATGACAAGTTTGGAAAACAAACTATATGGACGAAAACCCCAAATTTCTCTAAATATAATGATATTATCGTTCACTTTCTCGTCAACTCTTCAAATACGTATTTTTGTCTCTCGTTCAATTTTAATGTATTTTAATTTACGGAACTACGGCTATTTTTTTAATTTGAAGAGAGAAATGATAAAAGATTGTCCGGTTAAAATGACTATTTTAATTAACTTCTTAATACTTCTAATTTTTTATTTGTCATTATTCTAACTTTCTGTATAAAGTTGATAACATAAGGAATTCTTTTCTCCGTTTTTTTTAAACTCATTTACTTTATAAAAGAAGTCAAATAAATTGACAAACAAAAAAGAAAAAACACATCAAGAGGTCGTCAACCAAAAAGGCTCCCAATTCCTACGCATTCCTTTATCATCCTGCTCATCTTCCTTGCACCTACTTGGCCATTCAAATATTTGTTTTTCTGTTTCCAGCTCATCATGGATCCTCTCGTCTTCCTCGGCATTGTTGTCTGTTTCCGTTACATGGGTAGTTTTGTCGTTTTTCAATTCAAGAAGTTTCTGATGGTGGTCTCGGCTCTTCCAATACGTCAACCGTAGGCGTCCATGGCTCCTCTCGGCTCGAAAACAACACTTCATAGGTGGTGCAGCCACGGCTTGGATGATGAGTCTTCCACCTTCATGCTGACTTCGAATATGAAGCAAATTCAAACTACTTATCGTCGTCAATGGGGGTGGAAAACCACGCGAAACCACTTTCTTTGATTCCGTTTTAGGAACCAAATCTTTTCGAACCAACTTTTCTTGGGTCCTCGTGTATGAGCTATTGGACTTTGGGAACAAAAGCATGCTGCATTGGCTCGTGTCACTTCCGGTCTCGCTCCCTAAGCTTTCGGTGCAAAGTTCCAGGCTTTTGGGACTCAGTTTCAAGAGTGAATTAGGATAGACATAAGAGGGTTTTCTTTCGATAGGTTTTTGAGAGGAAATTATTGATTCGAGAAAACTGCAATTTGGTGGCACCAGTTTGAGTCTCATTGTTGTTGACTCTACAACATGAGAGGAGGAGTCGTGCAAAGCTTGGTGACAGACGACAGTAGACATGGTGGAAATTGGGAATTAGGGTTTGGGAGGTATTGTGAAGGAGATGAAGGACATGAGAGATGGTAGAAGGGGAAGGATGTGAATTTATAGGAGGGATTAAATGTGGTTATAGACTAGAGAGGAGGAGGTGTGGATGGGAAATGGAACGCTTTTTGCACCACTTGGATTATACTAATACTTGTTATATATGTCTATGTCATACACTAGAAAAGGGTATATATATATATATATATATATATATATATATATATATATATAGAAAAGGGGATATATATAATATATATTTATATATACGGGTTGAGTTCACGCGAGACACAATTTTTATACTTCAAATTTTACAACAAAATATTGTGAATGTAAAAAAAAAGCCGAATCTTCACAACAAAAACACTATGAAGGTTTTTTTGCTGTGAAGTTTCAAGTGCAAAAATCGTGACTCACGAAAACAACTTTGTCTTACATGATCCCAAGTATATATATATATATATATATATATATATATATATATATATAAGTAATTCAATATTATATGTAGCGAGAGGTTTAAATGAAAATAACACAAAAATGATCAAATTACATGTGATTTTACGTTGAATCATATGTGACTAAGGAACAAGGTTAACATGAAGGCGTGTGGGTGACTTGACACGTGATTGTAATCACATGAGATTTGATCGTTCTCGTGTTATCTTATTTTGACATTATTCTCATTTGAACCCCTCTCTCTCTAATGTTTGAGAGTTTTTCATGTAAATATCCATAAGCAATTACTTCAACCATTCCAAAACAAATGTCCACAATAGAAAGACATATAATTTTAGAAATGTATAATTATTATACTTTTAAATTAACAATTAGACATTTTTACCCTTAATTATAGAGAGAGAAAAATTTCATTACCTCATTATTAAAGGTAAAGTGAAAAATTAGATATTTACTTTTGAAAATTGACACTTAATATGAGAGAAGCTAAAATAATAATGTAGACATTTATCATGGTACGAAAGGAATAATATTTTCTGGTTTCGTTTATGTGTCTTACAAGGAAGTCCTCAATAACCAATACATGTGGAATGTATCACCAAATAAAATAAAAATAAGTAATAATCTTTTTGAAAACGGCAAAAATAACGATGTTAAATTGATGATACCTACCTTTACATATTCAATAGTGACCTTGATGAGTTTTCATTTTTTGAAATGCATTTAATATCTTCATTTTAAACCACATAAAAACATCTTTTTCAATATAAGTAACCAAACAACCATTCATCCATTGATCTCCGATTATATTGCCCAACCTATTCTTCACGATGCTCATAGCTGAAAACGTCCTCTCAACTGTTGCAGTTTCAACGACTATCATTGTTAGTTTTATAAGCAAATACATGAGAGGGAACATCTTATCCATTCTTATTTCAACCATTTTTTGCACAAGATCACATATCCCTTTGAAATTAGAAAACTTTGTTGTAGTTCGCATGCCAACAATATAAATCTCCAGTTGATCATCAATTATCAAAACTTCAATTTCAGAGAAATCGTCTGGATAAAAAAAAGCAAGTTGAATCAACTTGCACTTATCAAAAGCTGAAAAGGGGTCATTTGGATTTAGACGTGCATAGAAAGAAGCAACCAGTGCTAGTCTCAGTAAACCGATTCTCCAATTCCATATTATAACTCAATATGACACTAATGCAAATTTGTTGTTCGTGGATCTTTTCGACATGACCTTCCAGGAAGTAGGAACTTTTAGTTAATGTTACAAATATCAATATCATGCTTATCACAAAACAATGTAACTTGATTGAGTAAAGAATCCCGCCTGTCATTTTCAGCCCTCATTTTCTTTAGTTGATGCTTGCAAACTACAACCAATTCATTGAATTTACAATATATTTTCTTTCTTTTGCAATGCTTGGGATGATTTGTGAGTGATCCCTGATATCATATTCATAAAGTGTAGGCAAAACACAAAACCAAAGAAGTGCAAGGAGTTATATAGATTATGAGCTTCAGACACTGTTCATGGGTTAACCCATCTTCCTCTATCATCTCAAGCACATGTATCACATATGGAAGCAATACAATCATACTGACCAAAGTACCATAATGTGATGCCCAATGCGTGTAACCTACTTTAGTGAGGGAAATTTCTTGATTAAGGCCTAAACCACTTAGGATTTCATTAGAATTAAGTGTTCCAATAACTTTGGAAGTTTGTTGTTCTCGAAGTAGATCACGTTTGCGAGAACCTCTAACCACATTCACATCACTTTTACCAAGAAAAAGAACTCATCAATCTTTGAGTGCTTTTTTAGCCGTAGCAACAAGAGTAAGTTGAAGTTGATGCATTCACATTCGCCTGATTTATGTTCTTGATTTTCAGTATGTTCCTTTTTGTATATAAGATAATTCATATCATTTATGTAAAAATATCAAAGAACATTCAGATAACTAACTTTTTTATATAAGATAATTTTATTACTGATTTGCTAATACTAAAATAATATACACACCATATCGGCAAAACTGGATGACAGTCAACATTTTCAAATCATTAGATAAAAAATATTTAATTGATAAAAAAATATTTAATTGTTTAATATCATATCTTAGATATTTTGTACGAGAGTTTAAATATTTGATATATATCAACTCGAATGATCTCATTTCACCCATTAGAAATTCATTCTAATCAAAACTTATTTTAAATCGTCAATCACTCGATAATATTAGTCATTGTATCGGGAATCTATATATAATTTGACTGTTGTAAGTGTGTGGGTCAGTTTTCCTTCATCTAAATTAATCTAACGAGGTCTTAAAATTAACAATTAATTAAACCTTTCAGTAGTCTTGGGCAAACCTGAACTAGTGATCTATAAAAAATAAATCCAAGACATTACGAGTTAACCTAACTAAAAGGTTATCCTTATTTGGGTAAAAATTGATTATCGGCAACTAAACCGGTCCCGTCTAGTCCCTTTACCGATTGAGGAGATATTTTTTGGCTCACTAATCGACTGAGCAAGGAAGGAGGCGGGATCAAACTTGTATTTGAGCAAAATCGTCCCATCCCTTTATTGATCGAGTTACACGCCAAAGGCAAACAAAGTTAACCTCATTAATTCATATACTATACAATATATGGGTTAATTTAATAAATATTTATGTAATAGTTTTGTTTTAGAACTAAGAGTATAAAAAATAAACCCCTCCAAACCTAATCAAGTTTGGGTTAAAGGGTTCGGTTATTATTTTTTTTATTAACCTGGATATCTAATCCGCGATGCGAACCGATTAATTTCGAGACAACCACCTGCTTTGCAGATAGTTCAGAGTCACCGCATTTGAACCTTCGTGGCCATAAGGAGATTTTTATTCCTCCTTGGGACCTCCAGGTACTTTTGATCTTTGAAGTCAAGTTCAAACCAATTAGACACCACCCTTGTGGTTAGGATTCGGTTATTTTGTATAGTTTCAAAACATATAAAATAAAATTATATTTCGGTTTACCTGATAACCGATTTGAACAACCTAAAAATCGAATAATCCGTAACCGATTAAACCGAACCTTTATGTAATTTGATTATCAATTAGTTTTAGAAATATTAAATAACCGAATAAATCAAAACTGAACCAAATAAGACCCCCAATTTTTTACTTAAAACGGTACTGATTAATCATGTAATATACAAAAGAATCAGGAATTAAAAAGAAGAAGAAAAAAACTGGATCACATTGATTGTACGGACAGTTGCTGATGTAGATTTCAAAAGAGTTTGTGATAGAAAACAAGAAAGAAATAAATAATTAATTAAAAAGTAAAAAGATGTGTAAAGGTTGTTAAATAAGATGGCAACGTCATCTCCCACTCAACGTCTGAATTCAAAAAGCCCATCTTTTATTTCTCTTTTTAAGTAAAATTATATATTATTATACAATAAATTATAGTCTGTGTGTGTGTTTTTTAAATCCAAATAACGTTTCTATTTCAAAGTAATTATATTAGATGTTTTTGTTGTTTGCATTTTGTTACGAGTTAGGTTCTTTATCTTAATGGAGCTAAATATAATGCATTAAGCTAAGGGACATTTTTGGTATTTGCAAATATGTTAAGAAAACTGTCTTTTCATATTTTTGACATATCGGGTCTTTTATGTAAAATGAAGACTTAAAAGAAAGCTTCAGCAATAAGTTATAATCCAATTATAGTTCAGACTTGTGTATCATCCACTGTCACCTGATCCATTTTAGAATGACCATAATTATTGATACGCACCAAAAAGTTTGTTTATCCTTATGATTAGATTAACATGAAAAGCTCTATGAACACGTTTACAAACATAGAAGTTGAGTTGATAATTGTGTTATAACGAGATAGACATCAATCCTAACAAATGATCAGATGCGTAATCATTTAATTTAGATTATAAAAACCTATAACACATTTCAAATCCAGTGGTCATCCACAAGTGGTAAACTGGTACTTTATCAAAACTAAGAACAATCATGTATTCCCATTTTTGATTAGCAACTCAAAGTTAGGTTAGACAAATCTATAAGCCCCATCAATTTGGACAACCAAACAATGATGAAGATGTTCAACCATGATTAACATAAATGCAAGACGAAAGGAAACATATTTATAGTGGAGTATCAACACAAATCCACGCTTCCAATTGTTACAATCTCATTGCTTGAATGCAAAATATTACTTATGAATGCAAATATTTAACCTACACTAAGGGGCCGTTTACTAAGCAGTTACTTTGGTAAGCATTTATTGGTTTAATTACCTTTTCTGGTGAACATAACAAGGACCAAAAATCTTACCTGGTAAGAACAAAGATAAGGATCGAGAGTCATACCCGGTAAGTGAGGGTGATGACTCTTACCTGGTAAATACTTACCGGGTTATAAACGCTTAC